ATTAGGGTTACAATGCCACGTGGCATCCTCTGATTAGATCCCATTGGGCCTCTACGAGGTTGACATGTGTCAGTCCCTCATTGGGCCACGTGGCAGGGGTAATTTTTACCCCAAACATGACCTAAATGCCGAATGACTTTTATTTAATGAAATCACCAAACCCCTATTAAAATTAGAAAAAGAAAAATGTGACGATTAATTTAAGACATAAGTAAAATTTTGTAAACATCGAATCTGCAACCCAACTTGGCCAGGTTATTCAATCGGTGTATAACCCATTGTCCGCCTTCGCTTGGCCCAACTCGGCCTGGACCTCCTTCACTTCCACCTGGACAACTAGTCTAGTATCAGGCTAGAAAAAAAATATAGTATACGAGAAAATACAACTTGATCTTCATTATAAAAAAAAAAAGAAAAAAGAAAAAAAGAAAAAAAAAAGGTATTTATCTAGCGACATTTCTGTAAAATAAGTCAACAACTTTTATTAAATACGAGTTTTACAAATGTTGATTTATTTACGAAAATGTCTTGTTGATTGAGATATTTTATTGATTTATTTACAGAAATGCTATTAAACAAATGGTTTTTTTTTTTTTTTTTTTTTGTTTATCATGAAAGATCAATTACCAAACAAAACTTGGTCTAATGGTAAGATTTGCATCTTCCAACCTTGAGATTGTGGGATCAAACTCCACTAGAGGCATTTATGTCTAGCCCGTTAACCCGGGCCTGGAAGACCCGTGAGAATTACTACCCTAAAAAACGTTTATAATAATTTACAAATTTTTCGGACGTTTTTCCAAAGTGAGCCAATTTTGACAAATATTAACCAAAATGGTTGCGTGGCAAAAGTATTTACCAAACTAAGCTTCCAGGCTAAAACGCTGTCTCTGTCAGCGTTTTATGCCTGGGTTTTTTTTAAAAAAAATCAACCTAAAAACGCTGTCTGGGACAGCGTCTTTGTTGTTGACCTTTTTTAAAAAAAATTTTGTAATTGCCTTTTATTTATAAAAATGTTTTTAAAAAACAAAAACAGTTATACCAAAGACGCTGTCCCAGGCAGCGTTTAACTCTGGAACTATAAACGCTGTCTCAGACAGCGTTTAAGGTTATTAATGAAACGCTGTCTGAGACAGCGTTTCTGTCGTTTTTTTTTCTTGCAACAGCGTATTTCATCCTTTCATTTCCTCCTCCTTCATTCTCAAACCCCTTCTTTCCCAAACTCTAACTTAATCCCCCTCTCTCTCATACTTGTGCTCCTCCGTATAGACCGCCGTCGGCGCCGCCACCTCCACCGTCGCCCGCCGTCACCTCCACCGTCGCCCTCCGTGTAGCCCACTATACACTCCCCTCACCCTGAAATAGGTATTCATTCAACTTTCTTTGTGTTTTAAATTCTAGGGTTTATGTTGGTGATTTCTAATTTTTTTGGAATTGGGTTAAAATGTTGATGAGGTTGAGTTGTTAGTGTTAAAAATGTTGAATTGTTAGTGTTGGTATTGTTGAATTATTAGTGTTGGTAATTGTTGAATTGTTAGTGTTGATAATGGTAGTGTTGATATTGTTAGTGTTGATAATAGTTTGGATAATGTTGAATTGTTGTTGTTGGTTTTGTTGAAAATTGTTGACAATGGTTGATAATTATTAGGCTTTGAACAATTGTAATTACCTACATTGTTGTGTAATAATGGTGATTTAGGGGTTCTTAGTAGTTAATTTGTATAGTATGTAAAAAAAATTTGTTTGATTGTGGTGATTTAGGGATGATTTAACGGCTTTACGTAAAATGTGTTTTGGTTGTTATGTAGAATATGGCTGGACAAAATGTAGCGTTGTTATGTCGATGGAGAGGTGAAATTTTGTGTAATGGATCAAATGTGGAGTACAGTGGAGGGAATATGGACCTTATAACACTTGAACCGAACATGACTGTGACTGATCTGATGAATGAGGTTCACAGTTGTATTGGTTCAAACCCTATGACTGTTGAACTGAACCTTAAAATGAGGTGTGATACTGGTCATGGGGTGCAAGTGTTACCTGTCTCTACGAACAGACATTTGAAAGGTTTGAGGAGCATGGTAGGAATGAAGGGTTTTCCCAATGAGATATATGTAGAAACAGTGCCTATATGTACCCAACAAAGTACTCGGGCAGAACAACAAGCTACATATGTCTCTGATTACAACACCGCGTCCTTCCAAGAGCCCGCAAACCACATTCCATCGAATGCATATGGGATGGGTTCTTTCACTCGAATGATGCAGGACGACCAATTTCACTTGCCTTTTAGTTCTCATATAGCTTCACCAGTACATGCGGGGGGACGCGTGACTGTGTTCGGCCAGCCTGCTCCGTCGTCATCGAACACCGTGGCATCTTCGCCGATGTAATTGCATAGCTACTCTCCTATGCAAGGTGATGATGGTTCACCGTTTCGAGAAGAGCCAAATCATTTTGATGATGTTGTGAATAATGAATTGTCGGTGTATGATGTGTATGCGGAAATGGATGATGAGGACGAGAACGGAGAGGGGGATGATGAACCTACACAGGTGGAAGATGGTCAGCCGTTGGTTAGAACTCCCATACCTTGGCGCCACAGTACAGAGATACGCTCGAGCGTACTTGTTCTTCCTCATATCCGGCGTGTTGTTCGGCAACAAGAGCGGGAGCCACTTGCAGCTTATTTACCTACAGCTGTTAGACCACGACTGGGAGCATATCCGTGGATACAGCTGGGGTAGTGCCTCTTTGGCGGTGTTGTATCGCCAACTTTGCAGAGCCTCACGGAGTGGTGCGCTCGAGATTGGAGGACCTCTGTTTGTGCTTCAGGTATACTACGTATATTATCACAAGCGAATTATGCAATGAGTAATGTCATATTTAACATAGTTTTGTGTTTTGCTATTGAAGCTATGGGCTTGGGAGCACATCCACGTAGGAAGACCAGGTAGGCCTGCTGTACATCGTCCGGGGCAGCAGGACCAGGATGACCAGTATGAGCCGTACATCGCTCCGCCTCGCCCTGCAGCTGATGAGGCTTACGATTGCAGGTTTGTAACAATTGTCATTTTTTTCCCATATACGATTTCATTTTGTAAACATACTTACCAAATTTGTTTCCCCAGGTGGATGGTCCCCAGACTCACACAGGCACATGCGGCGACGGGTCTCCCATACTACCGAGACGCCCTTGATCGACTCACTGAGGATCAGGTACAAACTCTGAAGACATTTGTAATCATTTAGGTATTGTGTATACTGATTGTGGACTAACTTATTTAGGATGTGTTATTGCAGATCACATGGGATCCGTATGTACCGGAGTTGGTAGATGTCATGCCTGCACATCTACTGGAGCATCAGGGAGAGTGGCGTGCCCGGGTACCCCTGATCTGTTTCGAGGTTGTGGAGAGTCACCTACCTGACCGCGTCATGCGACAGTTCGGACTGCAGCAGCCTATTCCCCAGAACTGTGACACTGTCGTGCGCCTTCACGACATTGACCGCCGGGGAAAGACAGAGACAAACTGGGCACTGGAGCATTGGCAGTATCTTCAGCTATGAGAGCAGCGGTTGGGTCATGTCGTTCAGGGTTATCCCATGCAGGGCGTTATGGATCATGACGATCCGTACATGGTGTGGTACAGGCTTATCACACGCCGTTTCATCAACCCCAGCTACACACCACCGTCCACCCATTACCACCCGGCACATGACGTCATTAGCGGATATGTGAGTTTCTTTTACTATACTTATCATCCTCATTTTTTAACTTTTTTAAATATCATGTACTTGACTGATCGATGATTACTACAGGCGGCGGTTATGGTGGCGATGTATGATGCGCTGTCCCTCGCCCTTACAGACGGACCCACCAGAGCCCAGGTCCAGCGGATGCGAGATATGTCCGCGACTTCCTTACGCAGACATGGTCACGGTCATCTCATCCAACAGCGGGACGGTGATGATGGTCACTCCATCCATTCGCGGTTCGACCCCGGCCAGAGTAGCAGTGGAGGTGATCCTACGTCGCACACAGAGGCAGAGGAGTACATCTTCCACAGTTCTGCACCCTTCAGAACCCAGGAGGACGCATCGTCCAGCCAGCTCACTCCCCCCCCCCCCGCGCCGGAACCCATTCACCACCATTCACCATTACACTCAGCGTCGTCCAAGACGAAGGGACGACAGTGAGGCTAGGGAAGGGTTACACCAAATTGATGAGTAGTGAACGTATTGTATCATTGTTTTGTCCTTTTTCCTGGAATGCTGTATATAACGATTGCATTATCAATATAAGACATGCTGGTTGAATGAATCTGTTTGTGTTTTGAAGTTTTGTTTGCTTATTTATCCAAATCGGATTTATGTCAGTCAAAATAGATCCTTCAGGGCTAATGTACATTAAACAACAGACATTTGGAATCCATAGTCGAAAATGGGGAAGAAAGGATGGCCCGTGGTGGTTAATGTGGTTGTTCATGGTGGTTTTAGTGTTGTTGGTTGTGGTGGGTGGTTATCGACGGTTGTTGAATGGTTGGGGTTGGTGGTGGAGCTGGTTGAAGTGTTGTTGGAGGTCAAAAGTGGTGGCAGATGGTGGTCGATGGTGGGGGTTGTTGGTGGATTGTGGTGGCAAGAATCATGGCAGGGGGTGGTGGGTGGGGGCAGAAGAAAGTGGCAGATCAGTGGCAAAAGGCTGATTCTGCTGCTGTTTTGCACACCAGCAGAGAAATGCTGTCCCAGACAGCGTTTTAGGTTGAAAATAAGACGCTGTCTGAGACAGCGTTTTAGGTACAAGGAAGTTTGTACATAAAGCGCTGTCTGGGACAGCGTCTTTGGTATAACTGTTTTTGTTTTTTAAAAACATTTTTATTAATAAAAGACAATTACAAAAATAAAAAAAAAAAGGTCAACAACAAAGACGCTGTCCCAGACAGCGTTTTTAGGTTGATTTTTTTTAAAAAAAAAAAACCAGGCATAAAACGCTGACCGAGACAGCGTTTTAGCCTGGAAGCTTAGTTTGGTAAATACTTTTGCCACGCAACCATTTTGGTTAATATTTGCCAAAATTGGCTCACTTTGGAAAAACGTCCGGCCCATACATAAATGCTCCGTAATAATCAGGAATCCTTTTGTTATAGTCAGTGCTTGAGAAATTTTCTGGCATTTTACTCTGAAGACAGAGAGATTCAAGCTCCTCATAAAACTGGTAAATCTGTTATTCTGCTGGTACTTTGGCTTCAATCCGAAATATTGCAACTGTTTTTCTTTTTTAATTTACTGAGTTTTTATCTACTTATAATTCAATCTTGATGAAATTGTTTTTTATTTTTTTTTCAAGTTTAATTCTATTTTCTGGGGTGAGAATTCCCCATTATTTTATGATTTTTGTCCTTTGGCAATGATCCTTGATTCCCATTTGACGAGTTTGACTGTTTATTTATGCACTTCTGTTATAGAATTGTAAGCTAATTCAATTGAATCAATTAAAATGTTAGATGTTTTTATTGTCAATTCCATGCTCATATATATATATTAAAAGTTAGATTAATGACATTTTTATATATATATGATTCTATGATATGATAAGCGAAAACGCGAGATTATATAGCTAACTTATAGTCACATAGCTCTATAAATATGCAAAAATGTCAAATTGATCATTTATACACCTTAATGTGTGTTAGGTACTCACATGTTCAAAATTTTGACTTAATTGATCTTTGATGAATGTATAAATTAGTTTTTTTTTGTTTTAAAAGTCAGAGAAAATTTGACATTGAAGGGTAGTTTTGCGCGCAGGGTTGGAAATTATATAATTCCATAGAAAAATACCTAAGCTTATGTTTATGATAATGCTATTATGATCATGTATACTGACTTCTGAGCAGAGACAGACTTGTTAATAAGTTGGAATTATACGGGGCATGGTACTATGGATCGACTTGACAATGCAGCACGCGTTATGTTGGTTTCAGATCTTGACTACACAATGGTATTGGTTTTTTTCTTTTTTTCCTTCCCTCAATGAAACTAGTCCGCTTTTGGTTTCAATATCTTGTTGTTTTGTTCATCGGAGATGGTGGTATTTACAGGTTGATCACGATGATTCCAAGAATAATGCTCTTTTAAGGTTCAATGCACTGTGGGAAGCATATTTTCGCCATGATTCCCTACTGGTTTTTTCTACGGGACGATCGCCTATTAGCTACAAAGAGTCGAGGAATGAAAAACCCTTGCTTACTCCAGATATAACTGTTATGTCTGTGGGAACTGAGATTGCTTATGGGGATTCTTTCGTGCCTGATGTTGATTGGGAACAATCTCTTAATCACAAGTGGGATCGAAAGATTGTGACAGAAGAAACTGATAAGTTTTCCGAACTTGTGCTTCAGGTCTCACTTTAAGCTATTGGCAAATATTCCAAATTTCCAATGAGATATTTGTTTTTGCAAAACAATGTAATGTACGTGCTTATAGCATTCAATGGATCAGTAGATATTCATAGAGCCTAAATTCAAATGTTGAATGCAGTCTGAAACTGAGCAGCGTCCTCACAAGGTTAGCTTCTTCGTGGACAAGGCTAAGGCGTCCAAAGTGATTGAGGTTCTTGAGGCACGCCTAGTAGAAAGAGGGGTAAACTCTAAATGTTTTCTTCTGGTATCCTTTTGCAACTCTGATACTTCAAAGAGGTTATCCACTTCTATATTGAGCACTTGATCAGAAAAATGTTATTTCTCAGTTAGACATCAAAATTATCTATAGTGGCGGGGTTGCTCTGGATGTGTTACCAAGAGGAGCTGGCAAAGGACAGGCTCTCACATACTTGATGAAGAAATTTGATGGTAAAAATCCTAGGAACACTCTTGTATGTGGTGATTCGGGAAATGATGCCGAACTGTTCAGCGTTCAAGGAGTTTATGGTGTCATGGTTAGTACTTCAGTATATCCAAAACCTCATTTGTTATCCTGTGTGTAATCTTTAATTTTAGCTGAAATTGGGTTTTCAGCTACCAAGCATCTCTCATCTGTTCAACTGCAGGTCAGTAATGAACAGGAAGAGTTATTGCAATGGCATGCATTAAACGCGAAAAACAACCAGAATATACTTCTTTCCTCTGAAAGATGTGCTGCTGGCATCATACAAGCCATTGCTCATTTTGATCTAGGGCCTTGTATATCACCAAGGGATGAAATGGACTCTTTGGAATACTCAAAGCAATATATGAATCCGGGATATGAAGTTGTTAATATGTATCTGGCTTGTGAGAAATGGCAACGTGGAGAAGTTGACAAGTCTGAGAAATTTATTCAGAATTTGAAGTCAAAGTTTGTACGTGTGACTCTGAATTCCTCATCAAAGCACTACATAGTACTTCCTCTAGACATGAAGTTTGTTATCCTGGAACACATAAATTACAAGGACATATTGGTCTCAACTTTGCATTTATAATAAAAAGGCTGAGAAAGTTTTCATGTTGTATAGTTTTGGTTGAGATGCCAAAGCCACTTATGTTTCTTTTTGTTATTTGACAATCAGCATTCATCAGGGGTCTTTGTCCATGCTTCTGGAGTGGAGAAACCTCTCTGTAACTGCTTAGACTCACTGGAGAAGTCTTATGGACATATGCAAGGTCGCAGATTTACGAGGGTTGATCGAGTTTCTTCTGCTCAGATTGGTTCTGATACTTGGCTTGTGAAATTTGACAAGTGGGAATCATCAGGTGATATATCTCTGTTTTTTTGTTTTTTTTTTTTTTTTTTTTTTTTTCCCCGTGTAGTGCTTGTAGTGATAAATAAGTGCTATTGTTTTTGCTTACCAAACCTTGTCATAAACCACAATTAAACTGTGGTTAGGATTCTGGGAGATTAAAAAATAACTAGTATGAATTAGGTTGTACAGCAGTAATCATTTCCATAGCTATATCTTTTCCTTACATGGTCTGATTTGATGAATATGTCCCAAGAATAATACAAGAAAAAATACGAGAGAAGAGAGAAAAGAGGAGAGGAACTAAAAATTAAAAAAAAATTAAAAATAAAAAAAGGAAAAAAGTAGAACAAATTACTAAATAACTCACACTGTCTCATTATTAAAGACCAATTTGGGTTTTTTCATGGAAATTAAGAAAGTTGGCGGAAGTACATAAGTACATGTGGGGTTAGAGAGAGGTAGAGAAAAAAGAAGTAGTTGGGAAAATTGAAGAGAGGGAGAGAGAAAGTGTTGGAAATTAATGTATAAAGTCATTATTAGTACAAAAAAGTGATGTCAACTCATCAAAAAGTGGAGAATATTCTCAAATAGTACAACCTTAAAATAGAAATAGGTCTTTAATTTTGATTTGCCAAAAAAGGAATACAGGTTTTTAATAAAAGGACGGATGGAGTATTAGAGTTAACCAGGTTAATGCAAATGGGAGATGTTGAAATTCATGGGAAGTACAATTTCGGGTAGTTGTTTGGTTAGCACTAAATAAAAGAAATGGAGGAAATAGATATTTCTAGGAAATTTGATTTCCCGCAAAACATGAGAAGTTATATACCTGACATCCTGTTGGTCAATAGAAATTCATGGGAATTTATTTACCTAACATCCCCTTGGTCTATAGAATTTCATGGGAATTGGAGACTCCTTTGGTGCCAACCAAACAAATTATGGTCATTTCCTAGGAAATACATAAAGGAAATTACTTCCCATGAAATAAAAATTCCCATGGGAATTTAATTCCCTTGTGAACCAAACAGGCACAAAGTATAATAAAGATTTCTTTATGTTATTGAGTTAACAGCAATGTAAAAATTGTTTTCTGTCTTTCTATTGTCATTTTCTCAGAACTTTAAGATGCGCTTTTTGCTGGAAATAAATTTAGGAAGTTCCCGAACCAACAAGGGGTTATTTGATGAGCTTGATCAGGCTGGTTATTTTGGGGTTCTATTGCAAAAGGGAGGGTCAACTCATTAATTTAGAGGGTGGGTGTTTACATAATCTGATATGTTGTACTACTCTAGGATAAAATTTACCAGAGACAGGTTAATAATTTACCTTTACTGTCTTCTGATTGCATCATGCCTGGCAAGATAACTCTCGAGTTAACAGAGTTTGAAAGTCAATACTCAACCCAAAATCACTCAACTCGACTCAAATTTGAGTGTCTCTCTAACATGTGAAAATGCACTCAGAGTGTGTACAGGAAAACATTGTTAGTTTGATGTTTTATTTTGACAAATACTCCAAATTTTTTTGCTGTTTTGATATTTAATTTTAAGCACTAAACCAGGTTAGGGAAATCATCAAATCAATGAATCAATTTGACTAAAGTTTTTCTTCTGTCAAATTGGACCATGAGTTGAGTTTAAGCATATTGAACTTGACTCGACGTAATTTGATCCCAGCTCATAGAGTCATAGTCATTCTATCTTCAAATGAGCAGCAGTAAGACCATTTCATTTACTGCATTCTGATTATTTCGGTTTCTTAGGTCCTTGTTAGCTGGGGAAGCTTTGGTGTATTGCAACTACTGTCTTCTTCATTTGATCTCTTCAAATATGATTAAAATTCATCACTCTGTCCATTTTACTTTGCTTTTCTGGTGGTCATACCTTGTCTTAGAGCTGAGAGAGCAGTAAGGACTTCAATTTGCTCTTTCGGATGTAGTAGCTTCCGATACTGAACTTTTACAGGTTATCTGCAGTTCTTGTAACCATTTAATTGCTCACAAGCACTTATTGCAGAAGTCTGTTGCAGGCAGGCCTTGCTTTCCACCTCAGTAAAATTATATATATATATATATATATATATATATATATATATATATATATATATATATATATATATATATATATATATATTCCTTTTCGTTCTTACTTGCACTTTAGTTTGTAGAAATTGGAAATCTTAGAACATTCAGCAACTCAACTCTGCCAATGGATACAGGGTCTTTCCATTGGATATGTTGATGGCCCAAATACATTGAATTATAATCTTTATCATCCTTGAATTGTGTCATATACTTGTCTTTACAGTTTAACAAATCAACTCACATCTTATCTGCAAGAAATATTATATGCCACAGTTGGTCTTCATGCAATTCTCTCCACTCAAATTCTTTTTGGATTGAAATCTTTTATCTAATCGGATTCAATGATCACTTATCTTCTTGCTTTGCTGGAGGGGATTTGGTTTTCAATGCCGATAATTTTTATTACTAGAGTATGATTTTGGGAGGAAAATATCTGAACCAATGTTGAATTCTTTTATCGTATATTCCATCCATATTAGGACAAGGGCTCTGATATATTTTAAATATTCAAGGGTTCTGAGTAATCCATTTTCCTCTCAATGTAGTTTGTGATATCATACTGTAGTATGTTTGTCTTGCAGTTGAAATAACCAGAATCTTTGCTGTCGTGATAAATTTTGCTATGGTGTCTCTAGGTAAGGAGTGTCGTTGCTGTTTAACAACAGTTTTACTGAACTTAAAGGTATCATTTCAAAAAAGTGTTGATCAGCTAAATCCTTAGACTAAAAAAAAGACTCAGATTGACAGTCTTGCTGATATAAGTTGTGCATAAATTTCAGTCCGAAGGATTCACTTGGATGCATGTACATCAGACGTGGATGAACGGAACCACATTTGAAACTGAAAGGGAGTGGCTGTTCTAGAACCTTGACTAAGAAGGTAGAAGTATACCTAAAAGAAGGAATGACGATTACTATTGGTGGTTGTTCATGGGTAGAACCGTAGAAGTGCTAAATATCTGGAGGAAATAACTAACTTCTCCTTGCTTCTCTTGCAGGAATGGGTATGGAGTTATAAGTTTCAGAGAGCCATGTAAGTTACAGATACAATGGTGCTGATAAAGGAGACAAATTAAACGTCAAAAGTGCTACTTCCCCTGTATGCTGCTTGCTGTCATAGATCAAGGGTTTGGCTAGAGCGGTGTATGCATTTTTAATCACATGAATGCAATTTATACGATGGTCATTTTTTTAAATTGCCATGGTTGAATACTTGGAGGCTTATAGAACTTTGTCTAGTATGGCCAGGTTTTGTATTAGACGGCCTCCCAATAATTTATCCTGAGATAACAGTGACTTGTGAACATGTCTAGGAGAGGTATTTTAGGTTTGCGACAATTCAGCATAAAATAAGATTTGTACATTTTGAGTTTTTGACATAATTGAATTACATTATTACAACTTGTCATTTTGTTGAAGACTTGCTCTTAAAGTGATGGAGTGAAGCTAACTCCCAACTTTTCTGTAAAAAGAACAAGAAGAAAAGCAAACAAATAAACAATTTTATGCCCAATCATTAGGCCCGGCAATCGGGTCATTTAGGTCGGGTCATTTCGGGTTTGGTTTGGATCGGAGCATTTTGGGTTTCAAGTCGATGGAAAATCGGGTCAAGTTCATGTCGTGTCATTTTGATTGGGTCACTTCGGGTTGGATCAAATTTGGGTCAAAATATTGCATTCGATAAGGTAAAGTTCGGGTCATTAGAACTTGTTTAAAAAGGTTTTTCAATTTGAGGCAAGTTTGATCTTGAACTTAAACTTGATAATATTAGTATAAACCTAGACGAGCCATGTAATAGTTCAGTTTAGCTTACTTTGTAAGTAGTCTTATGTAAATATGCTCGTATCTACTATTCTACTACTCAAATTAAATCATTTATATGCTACAAGACTACAAAGTCTACAACTAAACTAATATAGCAAATTTATAGTACTTTTTAGGATATAAGGTCATTGTCGCGTATTATATTTATAAAATAAAAAATTTGAATTTATTCATATCTAGTGACTGAGTACCCCTAAAATTATTGCACACTGTCTTATTTTGATATAAAACTATAAATTGCGTCATTGATCGTTATGTTTCAACTTTTACAAAGTCACAAGTAAAAAATAGGGAAATTTACCTCCAAAATAAAAAAAGAAAAAAAAAAAAAAGCATTAAATTTGGTAAAAATAAAAATAAAAATAAAGTAGTGGGAAACTCTCCCCCAAAATTAAAAGAGTAAAACATCATAGAGGGGACTAAACTTTACCAAAAAAACGAAAGTAGGGGACTCAACTTTCAAAAAACAAAAAAAAATAAAAAAATCAAAGTTGTTTAATCTGCAGACCTCGTTATACGTGATGAACTGTAGCCATAGAAGATTGGCGGGAATCTAAAAGGCCATTGTGAAGCTTCTCTTGTACGCTTCCCCTTTTTCTATAAAAGAGTTGTACGTTCTCCTTCTTTAATATATTTACTTCCATACTCAGAAAGCTCCAACCAAAAAATTAACTTCTTTCTTTGCTTTGCTCATGTATTGGCTTACTGGTCCCAGCTGGGAGGAACAAATAAGAAACAAAGTCGCCAAATTTGGAAGCATAGAAGGTATATTCTCTTTCTCTTTTTTGTTTGTGGTCCATTAAACTTGGTGGTTGTTGTTCATAAAGATCTTTGAAAAAGTTTGTTTTTGTCTTACTGGTTGTTGTTAAACAAGTATTTCTTTTGCTTATTTGTGAAAAAAATGCTGCTTTCTATGGATAATTTGTGGGATGATGTGAGATATTTGTTTATTATTGTTGTTGTTAATGTTGAAAATGGTGTTTTATATGATTATTGAGTTGATTTTTTCAAGGAATTGTATATTGTAGCATATTTTTTTATTTGATTTTTATTCAACAGTAAACATGGAGTTAGGATTGATTATTTGGTGTTTGTGTGTACCTTAGTAACTAGTTTCTTACATGCCCTGTAATTTTGGCCCTAGGTATGGATGCTCTCCTGCAACACACCCATTGTTTAGCCAGTAGGACTTGCTGGTTACCCATGTGTTCCCCAAGGTGGACTGGGAAGGGATGATGACTATAGAGAAGACCTGCAAAAAATGGAGGATGTGGTAGAGGCTCAGGCACCTGGTTTTCACCTACCCCTTCAACAGCTCCAGGGCTGCCATCTAGGAGTGCGTAAAGAGGGATGTCCTCTACAGCGATGGGAGGGACCTACGTGCATGACTCGAGAAGGACATGACCGTGTACTTCGATGGCTTCCCATTGTTGTTCAAGGAGGAAGCCTAGGGGCCATGGGTCTTTTCTGTGCAACTGTTGGTTTTTGGGTTGGGTAGCTGCTACTTTTAAGCTTTTTTAGTTGTTTATGTAAAAATTTGGGTAGTTCTAGTTTTATCGTTGTCATAGCAGGAAGTAGGTTGGTGTGACAAGTAGGGTATTTCTTTTTATACTAGTCATTTGCATGACAAAGTTTAAGTAGTTCAAGTGTGTCTCTGTTAATGTTTTGGACAAATGATGATGATGATGTAATTATTAAATATTTTCTATGATGAATGGATTAATGGAAGTAGTTCCATTTTGCTATACAATGGTGTTGGTTTGCTATGTTTAAATTTTACACTCATAATTGAATGTTGATTATATGAATGAATGGTTGAATGAATCACTTTTGTTCGGATGAATGAGTGATTGAATGAATCACTTCTTCTTTGACTAATTGAATAACTTCATGATTGAATGACTGTATCACTTAATGATTGAATGAGAATGCTAATGAGAATGAAATTTATACTATTACTTTAAATTGTATTTGCAAATAGAATGATCAAACAGTTACTTGCTTTTTGAACCAAATAGCATGAATATGAAACCATGTATGATTGTTCATCATGGTGGGGAATGGGTAGCAGCCACAGGACACCTCATTTACAATGGAGGTAGAGTTAGACTGTTTGAGGAGGACATACCTGAAAATGTTGATGCCAAGTGTTTGAAAGAAGTAATTGATGCTTTGGGGCACACTGACATTGTTAAATTTCACTTCTTGAACCCTAGGAAGGACATGCAGAGTGGTTTAAGGTATTTGGGATTTGATAGCAGCAGGTGTGATCCTTTCCTATCATTATTGCTTGAGTTTAGGCTAATACATGTTTATACTATGCATGAGATAGGTCAAATAATGAATGCTGGTATCAACACTAACTTAGGGAATGGTTCTTTTGTTGACTTATTAAGTTGTGGAGGAGGACTAGGCAACTTCTCATCCATTCCTAGAGTTTTTGATCCTGAGATTGATTATGACACTAAAGGATCAGATGAGGATGATGTTGAGTTTGTTAATGCAAGGAATAGGGTTAGTGAGGAGAAAAATAAACAAGTGTCTTATGAAGAAGAAATGGAGATGCTTAAGAGATTAGATGAGTCAAAAGGCAAACAGATATAATACTGATTTAGAGAATGGTGGTGAAATTGGTAGCCAATGTGAATCTTCAGAAGATGAAGATGATGTTGGTTATCTGTTATCCCCTGATTCAGGTGTTAGGGGCAATCAAAGTATCACTGATTCAGAGAGGAATTCTACTTTCTTTGTGGAAAAAAGTTTTGAAAATGCATCTGCATTTAGGGAAGCTATCATATCTCACTCAATTGAATAAGGGAGAGAGATTAAGTATTCAAATAATGTCCAAGACATGATTGGTTGTCATTGTAAAAATAAAGACAAAGGGTGCCCCTAGAAGATATGGGCTTCATGGGATAAGGGGAATATGTCATTCAGGGTTAAAACTCATACCAGTGAGCACACATGTGGGAGAACATCAAAAAACAAAAGAGTTAGTACAATTTAGATTGCCAAACATTTCCACGATAAGCTTAAGGTCAATCCTTGTATTAAAAAAATACATGATATTATTGAGACAATCTGGTTAGAGAAAGACCTGAAAGTTAGTAGGTATAAGGCACACAAGGCTAGGAAAATGGATTAAAGCTTAATTGTTAGGGAGTATGAAGAACAATATGCTTTACTTCCAAGGTATGCAGCTGAGATTAAGAGAAGTACCAGGGGAAACACTATAAAATTGAAGCTGAATGGCAATGTATTTGAGAGGATATACATTTGTTTTGATTCTCTAAAAAAAGAGTTCCTAGCTGACTGTAGACCTTTCATATCTTTGGATGGATGCTTTCTAAAGGGACCATTTAGAGGTCCCCTTTTAGTGGTAGGCAGAGATGGGAACAATCAAATGTTCCCTATTGCTTGGTCAGTGATTGAAGTTGAGAGCACTGACACATGGACTTGGTTCCTAGAACTACTAGTTGATGATCTAGGCACAACTAAGGGTGCTGGCTACACAATGATGTTTAATCAACAGAAGGGACTACTTGTAGCAGTAGCAAATGTTTTGCCCTCAATAGAAACAAGAGTTTGTGCTAGGCATGTAAACTGCAATTTCAGAGGTGTGGTTGGTGGTGGCTTGGAACTCAGGAAACAGTTTTGGAAAATAGCCAAAAGCACAACTAAAAATGACTTCTTTGGAAACATTGAAATACTGAGGGCCATCTCAAATGATGCAGCTGAGGATTTAATGGCAAGAAATTACAAAAAATGGTGTAGTGCATTTTATACTCTAATGTCTTTCTGTAACAATGTGGATAATAACATGAGTAAGGTGTTTAACTCATACATCCTCAATTCCAGACACAAACCAATTATTACAATGCTTGAAGACATCAGAGAAGGTTTGATGGAGAGACTTCATAAGAAAAGGGAAAAAAAAAAAAAAAAGGGACTTGTCTTATGCCCTAGAATTCAGCAAAAGTTGGAGTGGAATAAGATTTGGGCTAGAGGATGAAATGGTTTAAAGGGTTGGTGTCCTTCGAACAAGTGTATTATTCTATAAAGGGTTCGGAATTAATTACGGAGTTAATTATTCAGTGAAGTCAAGTGATCGTTAAATTCGGGCTAGAGGCCATCTCCGATAAGTGAGATTAATTATATTAATCTCACAGCTTTCCTTCTACTGAACCCAACGGGTCACACCCAAGTGTGCAACCAAACTAAGGTGACGAATTAAGCCGAAGGCATTAATATGTCAAACTAGAGGATACATATTCCGACGTCGGATTCTGAGCTTAGAACGTCGAACGTCGAGTTAAATTCTAGGAATTAACGAGACATACAAATAAGTCAAACAACGAATTATAAAGTCAAAGTGCATAGTCCTAACCTCGTATCGGCCTAGCCGTGCGAGGGCTAGGCTAGTTGCTGCAAGCACCAGCAGCCCGCAGGGACGTGCAGGCTTGCGACAACAGCAGCAGCGAGCAGCAGCATGGCGTGGCTAGCAAGCCCGCATGCTGGCAGCTCACAGCAGGCCTGCTAGCATGGCACGCCAGCAAGCTCGCAGTGAGTTGTGGCTAGAAAGGGCTGCTAGCAA